AGAGGGTGGTGGAAGAACCAGGAACAGAAAAATGGGAAGAAACAAATCAATTGTGAGGATATAGTTGATAGGATGTGAAGAATGAATGTTCATTGAAATAAATCACTGATAGTTGTCACAAAAAAAAGTGGGGGGGGAGATAATGATTTAGCCCTGCTGGGTGGCTCAGCTGGACCATCATCCCACCCACCAAAAGGCTGCAGGTTCGATTTCCAGGCACACACCTAGGTTACAGATTCTGTCCCCATTTGGCACACATATGGGAGGCAACCAATCTATGTTTTTCTCTCACATTGATGTTCCCCCTTCTCCTCCCTCTCCCTTCTTCTCTCTCTAAAATTTAATAAACATACCCTTGGGTGAGAATTAAACAGTAAAAAATAAAACAGGATAATGCTTCAATGATTCAAACATAACTGGAAATGCCCTGACTAGTGTAGCTCAATTGGTTGAGCATTGTCATCTCTCTCTCTCTCTCTCTCTCTCTCTCTCTCTCTCTCTCTCTCTCTCTCTCTTCTTTGAAAACAACAAAAATATATTTTAAAAAAACATATCTAGAAGTTTCCTTTCTATATTTTGTAGCAACTGTGTCCAAAAGAGAGTTACACAGCCTAGAAATAGGCTACCAAATATTTTCACTCCAAGTGCCAAATAGGAATGTGGACAGTAGATGGCACTTTTGTGCTCTGACTGAAATTTCAGCGTTTGAAGTGAATTAACCTAGGAATGATTCGAACTATAATACAAACAGCCCTTTTTAGTAATCAATATATATATATATATCCAGGTTGTGATTTGAGGGGGACCATTAAAAGGGGGGCTAATGAAAGGGTCAGTTTGCCCTGCCTAGTACTTGGCTTTCAATGAGACCTTCTGCATTTTTAAATATTGTGAAATAGCATGGCTCCCATACGGTTAATAAGTTTGTAGTTTGAGGAGGCCCCTAATAATTACTGCAGCAAGTAGAATTACATGAACTCAAGCACACTTGAGGTTAGGAAAAATATGGTCATATTTCCAAATGTCCATCTGAGCTTTTGCTGTTTACAAAGGTGAGGAATAACAAAAGGAATAAAATCAAATATGAAAAAGAACCATAGGAAGGGCAGTTTGAAGTAAGAGATGAAGACAGTACAAGGAAAACAAAGCAAATGGTCCAGCCGGTGTGGCTTAGTGGTTGAGCGACCAGCCAGAGATGCAGGTCTGATTCCTGGTCAGGGCACATGCCCAGGCTGCCAGCTCAGTCCCCAGAAGGGTGTGTGCAGGAGGCAGCTGATCGATGATGTTTCTCTCTCATTGATGTTTCTCTCTATTGCTCTCTCTTCCTCTCTCTCTAAAAATTAATAAAAACATATTTTGAAAATAAAGCAAATGTTACTTTTTTCTTTTTGTAAAACTTACTCTTTGGTTAAGATACAGAATTTTACATATTTACAATATGCTTGCAATCATGCAAAAGGCATGATGACTTACTTAGTGATTAAGAGAGTGGAGTCTAGAGGCAGTTTTGCCACTTCCTGTGTACGGGGCAACTAACTCAATATCTTTGCACATCAATTCCCTTCTCTATAAGACTAAAATGGCAATAACAGCATCTCTACAAAAAGATTCTTATGAGGATTAAATGTCAGAATTTGTAAGGTATTTAGAAGTGTATGTGGATGTAGTGAGCATACAATGGGTAGATGACTTTTATAAAAGTCAACTTTAGGTGATGGGACAATAGGTGATTTTTTTCTATTTGATTAAAAACATGTATTTTTTGATATTTTGGGGAAAAGTTTAATATTTTTTACTAAAAGACAGAGACAATCTATACTTAAAATTTTGTTTCCTTTTGAGCTAGTCTACATATCCAAATGTTCCTTTTTTTTTTGTAATTTTGTGTACCCCATATTAGACATATCTTGACTGTGAGAAATCTTAAGGTTTGGGTTATCCCTCAGAATTCCAAGAATTATTATTTTTTAAAATATATTTTATTGATTTTTTACAGAAAGGAAGAGAGAGGGACAGAGAGACAGAAACATCGATGAGAGAGCATCTATCAGCTGCCTCTTGCACACCCCCTCCCGGGGATGTGCCTGCAACCAAAATACATGCCCTTGACCGGAATCGAACCTGGGACCTTTCAGTCTGCAGGCTGACGCTCTGTCCACTGAGCCAAACCGGTTTCGGCCCAAAATGATTTTTTATTGTAGTAAAATATACATAACATTAATTTACCATTTTATCTATTTTTAAGTGTATAGTTCACTGACATTAACTACATTCATAGTGTTTTGCAACCATCACCATTATCAACCATGATATCCAGAACTTTATAAGCTCAAACAGAAACTTTGCACCCATTAAAAAATAACTCCCCATTCTCCCTTTCCCCCAGCTACTGGTAACTTCCATTCCACATTTCATTTCTATGAATCTACCTATTCAAGGTGCCTCATGTAAGTTCCATTGTGTCTGGCTTAGCATGACGTTTTCAAGTTTCACCTATGTTGTAGTGCGTGTCAGAACTTCATTCATTTTTATGACTGAATATCAGTCCATTGTATGTATGCATCACATTTATTTATCAATTCATCTGTTTAACATGTGAGTTGTTTCCATTTTTTGGCTATTGTGAACAAGGCTGCTATGAACACTGGCGTGCAAGCATTTGTTCCAAGCCCCTACTTTCAACGCTTGTGGGTACATATCTAGGAGTTAGCATTTTTAGGAACAGCCAAACTGTGTTTCACAGTGCTATGCCATTGTATAATCCCTCCAGAACCCAGCATTATTTTTAAGAATGGAAGGCTTTAAAAAACACGTCACACCTAGATTGGGAATAAATAGCAAGGCGGAGACTTTCCACTTTGCTGACAAGTTGCCGGTATCAGCACTCTCGATGCATCACCTCCTAAACTAGAGCGATGTTTCTCCTTGTATAGAAGGCCACCTGAGAAGGCACATGGACATTCTTTAAATTGTCAGCTGAGCCCGAGGCACTGGTCTTATACCCTCCCAAGAAGGTGAGGGTATTATTTAGTTTCTGATTTACCTTTGTCCAGGTGTCAGCAGGGGCGGGTCTAAATATGTAAATCCAGTAATGCTAGGGCCTAGTTAAGAATGCAAATAAGCTCCTTTGACCCTATAAAATAAACCTGCTGCCTGGCTCAGGTGCTTGCTGCCTCTCCATCAGAAAGATGGCGCCCGCCTAGCGCCCAGCTTGATGAATCTATTTTTGCCTTTTGGTCTCTTTCTTTCTTTAGTTTCTTAATCCCCAGCTCCTCCACTCAGGAACCTGTTTCCTTTTCCGGGATGGAGATGGACACGGAAAACAGAGAAACAGCCCCCGCATCCTTGTACACAGCTGAAACTCCCATCACAATCATTTAAGGGGCTTATTACATAGGAAGGACTCTGGGTCCACCCCCTATATGTTGAATCAGCACCTTTGAGAATGGGGGGGGGGGGGGTCCTAAATCTGTAGTCGGCAAACTGCAGCCCGTGAGCCACATGTGGCTCTTTGGCCCCTTGAGTGTGGCTTTTCCACAAAGTACCATGGCCCGGGAGAGTATATTTTGAAGAAGTGGCGTTAGAAGAAGTTTAAGTTTAAAAAATTTGGCTCTCAAAAGAAATTTCAATCATTGTACTGTTGATATTTGGCTCTGTTGACCGATGAGTTTGCTGACCACTGTCCTAAATCATCATAATATGTGCTAAAAAGATGAGGCTCAGAAACCTAGATTGTTAAGTGGGAAGAGAAGATATCTCAGTCACCTTTTTATTCCTCAGATATTCAACAAATTTGTATTAGAGTTAAACTAATACTGCAATCTAAAGCTATTTCCTATCTGTGTAATTGCTCAGTACAGTATTCATTAAAACTAAATTCCATCACATTCAGCAGTTAAACTGTAATTAAGTTATATAATATACCTTTCTATTGCATAGAATATGTATTTTACCAGCTGTGATTTATTATGCCATCTTATACTGCCAAGAATTCTTATTCTGTGTGTAATTTTCAGATGTGTCCTTGATGCTTTGAGGCTGGGTACAAAAGATAATGTACTTGGAATTGGAAGAGCTGTCTCTGTGATTTTTGACAATTACATATAAAATATCTAAGAATCAAGTTTATAATTTGTAAACGTTGGTAACATTTTGTAACTGTCACCTTCATAATGTTGCTGAAGCTCAAGTGATATGTATAACGAAGCCTTCTACAGAAATGACTGTAGCTACTATGTGGCCTGAGTAATTAAACAAAACAAAAAGTTTATTCCTAAGTCTTTTCAAATACTAGATATGCTGCTGCATAAGTTGGTTGTTCTAAAACATACAAAAATGAGATTAGAATAGAAAAATAGAAAAACATTAAGTGGATGCACAATATTCATTTATTCAATCATTTATCTCATTTATCCACAATCTATATTTACATCACGCAGAACATTGTATGAGAAATAGCAATTAAATAAATTTAAATCTGTTCTCCAAAGGTTTAGTTCCCTTGTGCTCATTAAGCTGCTCCTGCTTTGTTCAAATCTCCCTCCCTTGTCATAACAAGCAATAGGGAACCCTCTTGAATTCGCTGGCGCTGTCTCTTTAAGGAGTAATGGAACTCCGATTGCATCGATCACAGACTCTTGACCCTCTCGCTCCAAGCGGTTTAACTCCAGTCACGGAGACTACTCTCTTTCTGGGTGTCATGCCTGGAGGTGCGTGAGTGTAAATACATTTTGGACTTGGCGGGTTGTCGCTTCTGACCGTGGGGCGGCTGGCCTGCCAGCTGGAGGACGCCCGGCGGTGCCCGGCGCCGCGGGACCTCGGGGCTCGGCTGGCCACGCCTGGAGCGCGGGGGTGATTGGGCCGCCGTTGTTGTAGTGACCGGGAGGCGCCGCCGCCCCAGGCAGACGGTTCCGGGCGCCGCATGGTCCCCCATCGCTTCTCATCCCCTTCTTTTCCCCCGTTTCCCCACCTGCAGGAACCGGTGACCCGCCGCTCCCCCCATGGCCTCCGTCCCGGTAAGGACGGGCTGGAAGCGACTCCCCGGAGCCGGTTTTGCGGGCTGCAGGGCCCGGTCGGAGCCGCGCCCGCACCTGGCGGGAGGTGGAGGCAGGTGTCCGCCGCCGGATCCCCCCCGCCGTCTCCAGCCCCTCGCCCCGGGCGCCCGCGTCTCCCCCAGCGCTGCCCAGGCGGCGGGAGCGTCCGGCCCCGGCCGGGCTCGGGACGGAGCCCCTGCGGGCCGGCGCTCTGCCTCCGGAATCCTCGGAGGTCCCCGTGGAGCGCCTGCGTCAGAATCACCGGGAGGCGTTTAAAAAGCGCCGGAGCCGGGGGGCCCCGCGCGCACCAGTGACCCGGCGCCGCCGGGGGGCCCGGGAGCCTGCATTTCAGACGCGCTGCCCCGGCGGCCTCTCCGGTCCTTGCGGTTCTGAGCAGCGCCGCGACCCGAGGATGCTGCCCGCCCTGCCGGGGCCGGGGCCGGGGCCGCCCCGCGTCTCCCTGCGGGGCCTCCTGCCCGCGGACCCGCCGCCCGCGGCCGCTCCCGGGACGGGCCCCGCGAGAGGGCCCCGCGTGCGCCCCCGGCCCCCCGCGTCGGAGGCCCGCACCTGCTGTCACATCCTGACCGCTTTCCTTCCCAGGAGGACCCCGTTCTGGAGCGTTACTTTAAGGGCCACAAAGCTGCGATCACATCCTTGGACTTCAGTCCCAACGGCAAACTATTAGGTAAGTTGTATTCATTCATTTCTCTCTCTCTCTCTCTCTCTCTCCCTCTCTCTCTCTCTCTCTCTCTCTCTCTCTCTCTCTCTCTCTCGTAACGGGGCAGCGCTCCGCTGCTGGGACGCCTCGCCTCCTGCCCACGTCGCCCCCGGAGGGCCCCGAGGCCCCAGGTTGGGGGGGGGCTGAGGGCGGCCGGGGGCGCGGGGCGCGGGCCGCTAGGTCCCGCCTGGCCCGGTCCGGCCGGGAGCCTTGCGCGAACTCGCCGCCAGGAGGAGCGAGCGAGCGGGCGGCGGGGCGGGCCTGTCCGCGCCCGGGGAGGGGTGGGTGTTGGCCGCGAGTTTGAGAAAAGTTGTGCGCGGCGCGGGAGGAAGTGCCGAGCGAGTTGGGGCTGCGCGGCGGGCGGTGACTGCGGGCTTCGGGGGGGACCCGGGAGGCCCCGCGGCCGCCGAAGAGCCGAGGACCCGCGGGGAGAGCGAGGTGGGGGGGGGGGGGGCCCGCTCCGGAGTTGGCTCCCGCCCGAGCCCCAAACGCCCGGCGGCGGGTCCGCTGCCCGCGCCCCGCGCGGAGACCATGCGGCTCCGGGCGGCCGCGAGGTGGACCTGGGCGGGCAAGAGCTGCCTGCTGCTGGCGCTGCTCACCGTGGCCTACGTCCTGGTGGAGCTCTCCGTGTCCAGTCTCCATGCCTCCTCGGGAGCCGGCCCGGCCTGGGAGCGGGGGCCCCGGCGGCTCTCCGACCCCGAGCAAAAGGCCGAGGATCTGTCCCGGCCGCTGTACGACAAGCCGCCCGCAGACCCCCGCGCCCTGGGCGAGTGGGGCAAAGCCAGCAAACTGCAGCTCGGCGAGGCCGAACGGAAGCAGCAAGAGGAGCTCATCGAGCGCTATGCCATCAACATCTACCTCAGTGACAGGATCTCCCTGCACCGCCACATAGAGGACAAGCGAATGCACGAGTGCAAGTCCAAGACCTTCGACTACAGGCGGCTCCCCACCACCTCCGTCATCATCGCTTTCTACAACGAAGCCTGGTCCACGCTGCTCCGCACCATCCACAGCGTTTTGGAAACCTCCCCCGCCGTCCTCCTGAAGGAGATCATCCTCGTGGATGACCTGAGCGACCGGGTGTATCTGAAGACACAGCTCGAAACGTACATCAGCAACCTCGACCGAGTCCGCTTGATTCGGACCACCAAGCGGGAGGGCTTGGTGAGGGCCCGCCTCATCGGGGCCACGTTCGCCACGGGGGACGTGCTCACGTTCCTGGATTGTCACTGTGAGTGTAACTCTGGTTGGCTGGAGCCCCTTTTGGAAAGGATTGGCGAGGATGAAACGGCCATCGTTTGTCCTGTGATAGATACCATCGATTGGAATACTTTTGAGTTCTATATGCAGACTGGGGAACCCATGATTGGTGGGTTTGACTGGCGTTTAACGTTCCAGTGGCATTCTGTCCCCAAGCACGAAAGGGACAGGTGGAAATCGAGAATTGAGCCAATCAGATCGCCCACCATGGCCGGAGGACTGTTTGCTGTCAGCAAAAAATATTTTGAGTACCTTGGGACATACGACACTGGGATGGAAGTGTGGGGAGGTGAAAATCTGGAGCTCTCTTTCAGAGTGTGGCAGTGTGGAGGGAAACTGGAGATCCATCCGTGTTCCCACGTGGGCCACGTATTCCCTAAGAGGGCTCCCTATGCTCGGCCCAATTTTCTACAGAACACTGCTCGGGCGGCCGAAGTGTGGATGGATGAGTACAAAGAGCATTTCTACAATCGAAACCCTCCAGCAAGGAAAGAATCTTACGGGGATATTTCTGAAAGAAAATTGCTACGAGAACGGCTGCAGTGCCAGAGCTTTGACTGGTATTTGAAAAATGTGTTTTCGAACTTACACGTTCCAGAGGATAGGCCAGGCTGGCACGGAGCTATTCGCAGTATGGGGATCTCTTCTGAATGTTTAGATTATAACGCTCCCGACAACAACCCCACAGGTGCTAACCTTTCACTGTTTGGATGCCATGGTCAAGGGGGCAATCAGTTCTTTGAATATACTTCAAACAAAGAAATCAGGTTTAATTCTGTGACTGAGTTATGTGCAGAGGTTCCTGAGCAAAAAAATCAAGTAGGAATGCAGAATTGTCCAAAAGATGGGTCCCCTGTGCCAGCAAACATTATTTGGCATTTTAAAGAAGACGGAACCATTTTTCATCCACACTCAGGACTCTGTCTCAGTGCGTATCGGACACCTGAGGGCCGAGCTGATGTGCAGATGAGAACTTGTGATGCTCTGGATAAAAATCAAATCTGGAAGTTTGAGAACTAAAAGAGCACGAGCAGCACTTTAGTCCTGAGTTGACAGTATATTCAGGAAAGTCCAAGAGCCTCAGTGGAGATTATATTTTATTAGAAATCGCCCAGTGGTCATCTCTGAGAGTGCTGTATAATCTGTGTTTCATCTTGGCATAGAACACAAACTGTTGCGCAGAGCGCTGCTGTTTCACGTTTGAAAGTGCCTTACTTAGAAGTGGTTTTATTTTATTTCAGAGTTCTGTCAATATGGTTTCTTCTCCTTAAAGAAATTGACTGTGAATTGAGATACACAAAACATGTAGGTGTCAGATGATAGTACAGACTGTACAAGTCCCAAGTAAAATAGTAGGTGATTTTTATTTATGGGTAAGTTCACTGCACATCCTTTTTTTTTTTTAAATAAATTCTTAAATGTGCAGTTTGAGCTAAAGCTGTTTTGATTATACATAGATTTTGGATTTCTTTAACCAACACATTAACTTTTGGGGTTTGTTTATTTTTTCTAATTTTTTAAAATGAAATGGAAATCAAAGAAAGTTGATTTTAAGGAGAAAGGCCTGGTTTGGATATGTGTGTCCATTAGAAGAGGGCATTAGTTTGAATGCGAGTTTGGAGGTCTTTTTTTACATATAGACACTCAGAAAAATATACCCACATCTGAATGAAATGGGTAGATCATTACATTCCACACTTTGTAAACTTGAGCTATTGGACTTAACTGATCTATAGTGATACCTCAGATAGCTTTGATTTCATAACCTGTCCTGTCTGTGAACTTGTTAGTTAAGGCATTTTCTGATTGCACTTCCTTAAGTAATGAATGTACTCGAGAGGGACTCATTCAGAATACTGTACTTCCTTCCCTTTGTTAATGCTTAATCACTTAAAGTAAATACAATTGAGGCCTCTCTGAAGTTAAACCCACTGTGTTTGTTGAAATGTGTGAAAACGAAAGTGGGCCCTGTTTTGCAGAGGCTGTGGAACTCTTCTGTGAGTTCTGGCTGCTTAGGGCATTTCAGGATTAATCTTAAGAAGATAAGGAAAGAAGCCTGTCTTGACAATGGTGAATGCTGCCTTCCAGCTTTTTTCCACTGAGCCTCACACTTAGGCCGCTTTCCGAAAGTGGGGAAATGATTGAGTGAATGAATGAATGGCTCAGCCCAGGAATGTGGCTGGTCAAGTCATTTGACCAAATGACTCAGTTTGGCCCTCAGTTTCCTGATCTGCAAAATGTGGATGCTGGATTAGATGGATCCTGAAGATCTCTTCCAGCTCTGAAATGTTATGATTATGCATTATATCCGTCTCAGTTTCAATTCATTGTGCAATCTTTACAACACTTTTTATCTGTTCACTTTTAACGTAGGTATTGTTTTTGAGCAACGTTCAGTCCAGTTATAAAGCTGGGAAAAAGAATTGGTTTTAAGACTTACGTGAGCTGAGCTCACCTGCAGTGGTTTATTTTTGGATTGAGTGGAAAGTTGTATTCATTTCATTTTGTCAATTGTTGAACCAATTTTTGTTTTTATCTTTAATCTTTCAAGCTGTAAATAATCTTTTGGGGCAAGGTTGTAAATATTTCCCAAACTAAATAATTGGAGAAGTAAACATACTAAACAAAAGTATTTTTACTGGTTTAATTGCGATGTTATATTTAGAAATCTAAATTTAGAATTAAATCTCAAATTAGTTCACTTTGGCCTAGATTTTTGAAAAATACATGCTTGATAAAAAATTAATCCATAATCCTTATATGAAAATTTGTTTTCAGTGTCTACTTAATGACGTAGCAACTTTGCAAATCTGAATTTAAGAAAAAATTTTAGGATAGTTATTTCAAAAAGTGAAATTGTTCAGTGGCTTGAATATTTTTATTTTTTATTTTGCTTCTAAAAATGAAAATGTGTTATTAGCTTTCTGTAAATTATCTGGCAACCTTAAAATTTATCAGAAAATTGCCATGGCACTGGGTATAATTTAAAGAGGACTTATCATAGTGCTCGAATTTTACAAAAGGGTTGACTGACAACAGATATTCTCCTAAACCTGCCTTCTCTCCATGCTCAGCCTGCCTTTTTTAAATTATTAAATTACCTTTTACTTTTTAATTTATTTTTTTTATTATTCTTAGCCCTCTATCAAATGGGAGAATTAAAGTTGATATATTCTGGAAGTACATACTGGAATTATTTTTATTTTAGTATCTTGCTGCTCATGTCAAGAGAGAAAGGGAGCATTAAAAACTAGAGTAGTGTTTAATTCTTTATTTACTCTTGGTCTAAATTTCAGGGCTTTTTGGAAGAAATTTTAGATTAGGGCTTTATTTATATCAATTAATTTGGAAGAGTTAGGCTGTTCATTCCTTACAATCCTGTACATAACTGAAGAATGAGACTTCCACTTTTCATGCATAGGCTTTTCCAATTTAATTAAAAAACACACTATAAAACTGTAAACAAAATGTATTTGGATGCCCTACTTCTAATTTATTGATACTAAATCTCTCTTTTTGGGGGGGGCAATTAAGAGTTGACCTTTTAAGTTGGTTTACATGCTGAATCATAACTTTAGAAAAATATTTGCTAAACAAGAAGTTTCAACTTTAAATGGCCAGTCACTATATCATTTAGTATCCGAGTCTCTGAATAGTTGGACCATCTAACTTGGCATTTTTATAAGTCATTTAAAAAAAAAAAAGAA